CTACAAACTCATGGAGATTGAACAATGCACAATTGCACCATCCCTGGGTAAAGGAACAAATAAAAAAAGAAATTAAAGACTTCCTCGATTTCAATGAGAATGAAGACACAACATACTCAAACTTATGGGACACTCTGAAAGCAGTGCTGAGAGGAAAGTTTATAGCACTAAGTGCCCACATGAAAAAACTGGAGAACAGTCATACTAGAGAATTAATAGCACAGCTGAATGTTCTAGAACAAAAAGAAGCAAACTCCCCCCAGGAGGAGCAGACGCCAGGAAATAATCAAATTGAGGGCTGAAATCAAGCAAGTAGAAACCAGAAAAACACTGAGAAGAATCAATGAAACAAAGAGTTGGTTCTTTAAGAAAATCAACAAAATAGATAAACCTCTGTCCAAACTAACCAAAAGACAGAGGGAGAGCATGCTAATTAACAAAATCAGGGATGAAAAAGGGGACATAACAACAGTCTCTGAAGAAATCCAGAGAATCATCAGGGCATACTTTGAAAATCTGTACTCCACAAAATTTGAAAATTTAAAGGAAATGGACAATTTCCTGGATAGATATCACTTGCCAAAACTAAATCAAGAACAGATAAACAATCTAAACAGACATATAACCCCTAATGAAATAGAAGCAGTCATCAAAAGTCTCCCAAATAAAAAAGCCCAGGCCCAGATGGCTTCAGTGCAGAATTCTACCAGAAATTCAAAGAAGAGCTAATTCCAATACTCCTCAAAGTATTCCACACAATAGAAGCAGGAGGCTCACTGCCAAACTCTTTCTACGAGGCTACAATTACCTTGATACCCAAGCCACACAAAGACACAACTAAGAAAGAGAACTATAGACCAATTTCCCTCATGAACATTGATGCAAAAATACTCAATAAAATACTCGCAAACCGGATTCAAGAACACATCAGAAAAATCATCCACCATGATCAAGTAGGCTTCATTCCAGGAATGTAGGGATGGTTCAACATTAGAAAATCTATTAATGTAATCCACCATATTAACAATCTGCAAAAGAAAAACCACATGATCATCTCACTAGATGCTGAAAAAGCCTTTGACAAAATCCAGCACCCCTTCATGATAAAGGTCCTAGAGAGATCAGGGATAACAGGAATGTACCTGAATATAATAAAAGCAATATACAGTAAATCAACAGCTAACATCAAACTAAATGGAGAGAAACTCAAAGCAATTCCTCTAAAATCAGGAACAAGACAAGGCTGTCCACTCTCTCCATATCTCTTCAATATTGTACTTGAAGTTCTAGCTACAGCAATAAGACAACAAAAGGAGATAAAGGGGATACAAACAGGAAAAGAAGAAGTCAAACTTTCACTATTTGCAGATGATATGATAGTTTACATAAGTGACCCAAAAAACTCCGCAAGGTTACTCCTAGAGCTGATAAACACCTTCAGCAATGTGGCAGGATGTAAGGTAAACTCAAAAATATCAGTGGCCCTATTATATACAGATGATGAAGTGACTGAGAAAGAAATCAGAGAAACATCACCCTTTACAATAGCCAAAAACAACATCAAATATCTGGGGATAATGTTAACCAAGGAAATTAAAGACCTGTATATCAAGAACTTTGTGTCTTTAAAGAAAGAAATCAAAGAAGATACCAGAAAATGGATCTAAAGGGATAACACCAATTGGTAAGCTAAGCAATAGTGGAGAGACCACCTCGAATGCCCATTCCTGATAATGAACTTGATGTCTATAACCATCCGGGAGCCTTCATCCTGTGACTGATGGAAGCAGAGGCAAACACACAATTAATCACTGAACTGAACCCAAGGAACCCAGTGACAGAGAGAGAGGAGTGATGAGCAAATTGGCAAAGAATGACCTGGCAAAACCAGCAGAGACAGCTGATCTGAACAGGGGAGAGCTCTTGGACCCCAGACTGACAGTGGGGAGGCCAGCATGGGACTGATCTGGACCCCCCAAATGTGAGTGTCAGCGAGAAGGCCTGGGCAACCTATGGGGCCCTGAGCTGTGGATCAGTGTCTATCCCTGGTATACAAACAGTCTTCGTGTGCCTATAGCACAAAGAGGGATGCTCTCTCAGCCTGGACTCTTAGGGGAGTGCCTGGACCCTACCCAGAGTAAAATGACAGACTCTAGATATCCCCTATGTGGAAGGATTTAGCAATAGGGTGGGAGGGTGGGGGGGAAGGGGAGTGCGGGAGGAGGGGAGGGAGAGGGAACTGGGATTGACATGTAAAACAAGCTATTTAAAATTAAAATAAAAAATGATAAAAATAAAGAAAAGTGCTGGCAGACACAATACTCAACAGATAAGTGCCAGTGAGTGAGTGAGCACACAAGAAATTAAATTAATAAAATAAAATACCATCGAGCTCACCAGTAGGTAAAGACATAACGCACAGCCAGGAATAGTGCCAAAGAGTGAAACTTCTCCCCATGTGCCCCTGTGGGATCAAAGCTCCTCCATCATGACTCTCCTGCCTTTGTTCTGTGTTCTGTGCTCTGTGCTGATGGGTCACATTTAGCTCCTGTAAAATGTTATGAAAACATTTACCTCCATCTGACAGGTAAAGAATCTAAGACTCAAAGACCTGGCAGAACTTTCTGGAAGGATGGCCTCTAGCATGTTGCAGTGCAAGGATAGGAGTCCACATCTACCTCCCTGCACATTCCTCATTCTACACAGATCTGCTTCCTCATCTATCCTCATCTGCCTCGATTCTCAAATGTCCCCCAGGCCTCCTCCAAAGCACTTCGTCACCCCAGACTGCCGAACACCGTGCAGTCTCTATAGAAGATGACTCTAAGCCTCTAAGCCGGGCGTTGGTGGCGCACGCCTTTAATCCCAGCACTTGGGAGGCAGAGGCAGGTGGATCTCTGTGAGTTCGAGGCCAGCCTGGTCTACAAGAGCTAGTTCCAGGAAAGCCTCCAAAGCCACAGAGAAACCCTGTCTCGAAAAACCAAAAAAAAAAAAAAATAGAAGATGACTCTAATTATGCCTGCAAGGGGTTCATAGCTTATTCCAAGAGAAAACCTGCACAGAAGGCACTATTGACTGCAGTCTGTCTCCTCAGCTACCATACTTCTTTCTCAGTAATTGTTGCAAAGCAAGTTCAAGGGCAAACCTCTGAACCCTGGCTACAGGGTCCCTTGCTTATCATTAAGGATACAATCTTCAAAGCTTGCCTCCCAGTCTGAGACATCACCAAGGGATAATTCCTGAGGGAAAAGGCCAGAGAAATCTTAGAGGTTCTAGCAAAGACTCTGATATCTTCTCAACTAATACTGTGTTTTTCACTACTACCAGCCTCCTCTCGCCCTCCAAGAAAACCACAACTGACTTGTGGTTGTATTATAATTCTCAATGAATAAAAACAACTCTATGTCCATCATCAGGGGATAGTTGAACAAATCAATGTTGATACATTCAACAGAGAATTTCCACCTCACATTAAAATTACTTCTCAATGTGGAGTCATCATCTGTGTGTCTATTTCTGATGAAATTAGCATGTTTGGTTCAGAAAAGACTACAGTAAATTGAAGGTATGAATTCACCTAGATTAGCTAGATTAAATCATGGGAAGTTAACAAAGAGAAAAAAATCTTTGAATACAAAGAGGACAAGGGTAAGAGGAATAAAGTGAGTTTTCCAGAGGTTGAGGAGGGAGGACATCATGAGGGAGAGAAGTGGTCCACCCTGTCAGGAGAAACCCACCCTGGTAGGTGCAGTCAACAGGAGTGATCCACTCTGGCAGGTACCAGCCCACCCTGGAGGTGCAGTTAATGGGAGTGGTCCATGCTGGTAGGTACAGTCAATAGGCATGTTGACTGTAAGGAGCTTAAAGTGTTGTTTGCCTATGTTTTAAGTTATTGAATGCAGGGCTGGGGAGGTGACTCAGTTGGTAAAATGCTTGCTATTCAATCATGAAGACCTGGATCCACCATGCCAAGTAAAAAGCCAGGTATGGTGGTACATGCCTATAACCTTACCACTATGGAGGCAGAGACAAGTGGATCCTTGAAGCTCACTGGCCAGTCAACTTAGCCAAGTCATCGATGAGTTCCAGGTTCAGTGAGAGACCTTGCCTCAAAAAAAAAAGTAATAATGTGGAGAGTAATTGAGAAAGATACCCAATATAAGCCCCTAGTCTCTATATGTATACACATGTGTAACAGAGACATATATGCACAAATAAATAATCTTTTTTAAATTTAAGGCAAAACTACTAAGTGCAAGGAGATATCTTTAATTAGATCCTATCTCAGAAGTAAAAGGTTCTTAGGAACTAGGCTGGGAATGTAACTTAGTGGTAGAGGGATTGCCTAGAATTGAAAGGTTCTGAGTTCCAGCCCTAGTCCAGAAAAAAAGGTACAAAATGTATTTCTCATGTTGAAAGGAGATTAATGGTAACACATATGAAGTAGGAAGTCCACAGCTTAGTTAATGGCAGTGTATTTGTGTTAACTTCATAGTTTTGGCAAATATACTCAGGTGATACATGATGTTACTAATCTGAAGCAAGCCAAATGAAGGATGAATGCAGGAATTCTCTGTTCTATCTTTGAGATTTTTCCATAAATCTAAAATTACTCACAAAAAAATTTTTAAAAATACGTGGCACATACTGAGTGGCATGTGGAGGAACAGGCAACGATCTTTCTAAAATAAAGGAACTAGAGGTCCCCTGCTTTGGGTTCTCAACATTTACAGCAGTTCTGCATACCATCAGGACAGAACTCACCATTCCTCTGGCCACTAGGTACCCTGCACCTGCTCTGAGGACACATGTGTCAAATAGGTCCTTGTTTGCAATGATGCATGTGTTTTGTGTTTACAAAAACAAGACAAAATTTGAAAACAGAAAGAGCCTGGATACAGGACATGAATAACCCAAATCTCAGCAACAGCAGCCCCTTGGGCCCAAATGCAAGCCAATATCTCCCGAATCACAGGGCATAAAAAAATTCCACAGGAAGAGCGCTCACTTCGGCAGCACATATACTAAAATTGGAATGATACATCGAGGAGGAGCATGGCCCCTTGTGCAAGGATGGCATACAAATTAGTGAAGATTCCATATTTTTAAAACAAAATCATGGGGATGGACTGGAAAGCTGGCTCAGGTGTTAAGAGTGTACACTGCTCTTCCAAAGGGCCTAAGTTCTGCTCTCAGCACCCACAGGGTCAACACAACCATCTATAACTCAAGCTCCAGAGAATCTGATGCCCTCTTCTGGCCTCCTCAAGCACTACACTCATAAGCACACAAGTGGGGTGGGCATAATTTAAAATAATAAAAATAAAGCTTTTTTAAAGTCAGGGTAGGATTCAAACTCCAGTCTGTGGGAGCTTATGGCCCATGTAGTTTCTGACCAAGATTCCTTGGTGGGGACAAAATGGGAATCAAAGACCAGGATGGAGCACACAGTTCCGAGTCCATCCTCATCAAAGGCATCAACAAAGAGACAGATTTTGTTCTAAGACTTGCAGGCTCAGTCAGCAAGGCATGAGCTGGGAGGACCTGAGTTTAGATCCCCAGAATCCATCTGAAAAAGCCAGGTGTGGCACACACCTGTAAATCCCAGTGATGGCAAGACAGGAGGCAGATACAGCTGAACCACAGGCCAGCTAGCCTGCCTAATGTGATAAAGTTGTTGGCCTATGAAAGACTCTTTCTCATGGAAAACTGATAAATGCAGCACACCTGTGACTTTCCACTGACCTCCTCATGCATGCTGGTCATGCACACACACACACACACTCACACACACACACTCACACATACACACACACACTCACACACACACCACACTACATACTCCCACCCGATCACACTCAGAGATACACATGCACCTAAAATATGGTTTTTTATTTTTAATTTTAAATTTAAATTAGAAACAAGGTTGCTTCATATGTCAATCCCAGGTCCCTTTCCCTATCCCTCCCCTCCTCCCACCAACCCACCATACCTCCTTGTTTCTCCAGGGAGGGTGAGGCCCTCCATGGGAGTTTCCATAGTCTGTCATTTCATCCAGGGCAGGGCCTAGACACTCCCTCAAGAGTCCAGAGTGAGAGTGCATCTCTCATTGTTGGATGGGCACCCAAAGTCCATTTGTATGACAGGGATAAATACTGATTTACTACCCAAGGCCCAGTAGATTGCCTAGGCCTCCCCATTGATACCCACATTCAGGGGGGTCTTGATCAGTCCCATGCTGAATTCCCAGCCATCAGTCTGGGATTCAAGAGCTAACTCTTGTCAGGTCAGCTGTTTCTGGGGGTTAAACCAGCCCAGTCTTAACCCCTTTGCTAATTAGTCCTCCCTCTTTGTCACTGGGTTCCTTGAGTTCAGCTCAGTGTTTAGCTGTGGGAGTCTGCCTCTGCTTCCATCAGCCACTGGATGAAGGTTCTGTTCCCCAGACTCTCTGGCCGTGGGATTGTAGGCTGGCACTCCCCAGATCTATGTCTAAAATCCATATATGAGAGAGTACATACCATGTTTGTCTTTTTGTGACTGGGTTACCTCACTCAGGATGGTTTCCTCTAGTGTCATCCATTTGCCTGCAAATCTCAGGATTCCATCGTTTTTTTATGCTGAATAGTACTCCATTGTGTAAATGTACCACATTTTCTCTATCCACTCTTCAGTTGAGGGGCATCTAGGTTGCTTCCAAGTTCTGGCTATTACAAATAATGCTGCTATGAACATAGTGGAACAGATGTCCTTGTTGTATAAATGTGCATCTTTTGGGTATATGCCTAAGGGTGGAATTGCTGGGTCTTGTGGTAAGCTGCTTCCCATTTTTCTGAGGAATCTCCATACTGATTTCCAAAGTGGCTGAACAAATTGGCACTCCCACAAGCAATGGAGGAGTGTTCCCCTTTCTCCACATCCTCTCCAGCATAAACTGTCGTTGGAATTTTTGATTTTAGCCATTCTTTCAGGAGTAAGTTGGTATCTCAGAATTATTTTGATTTGCATTTCCCTGATGGCTAGGGATGATGAGCACATTCTCAAGTGTCTCTCAGCCATTTTAGACTCCTCTATTGAGAATTCTCAATTTAGTTCTGTAGCCCACTTTTTAATTGACTCCTTTGGTGCTAAAACATGATTTTTAAAATGTCATTACCAGTACTGCTGCCACCATGCCTTCATATCAGACACCTGCCCTGACAGGGGGCAAAGCTGGCAAAGTCTCAAGCTTTGAATATGGCAGTGAGGGGAGGGGCCTGCAGAGCAGAATGGATGTTGAAGACAGCCCCTTCCCCCACAGATAGCAAGTATTTCCTTCCAGCTACCCAGGACTCTTATCTAAAAGGAGAACCTCTCCTCTTGCAAATGCCCACACACACAAATAACCAGTGTCTGCCTCATCAGCATGACCTCAGGTGGAGTGGCATCTACTGTGGTATGGTCTGCGGTGGTAGCTGACATTCCTAAGCCCTGCACATGTCTACCCACCTTGGAGTCTTTGCAGTACCATCTACTTGGGCCCAATCTAAAGATACTTTTGTGTCTATATGAAGAGTATGGCAGAGGTGAGAAGGCAGAAGAACCAGTTAGTTGTCTGGTTCTGGTGACAGTGGACAGGTACATGGCACAAAAGGAAAAGGTTTGGGCCATGTGCAGATACCAGATATGGAACACAGGAGAAGGACTTGCAACTGATGGAGTTTACTCAACTTCCTTATTTGTTTGTAGACACACAATTCTCCCAACATCATTTATTGGTGACTATAGTTTGCCTACCGCACACTCTTGGCTCCTTTGTCAACACTCAGTTGAACACTTGAGCTTTTTTCTTTGAGCTCTCTATTCTGTACTATCAGGCTATGTCTGTCTTTATGCCAGTGCCACAATGATCTGGATACTGTAACTTCACAATATGTTTTGAAGCCAGGAAGAGCCAGTTTTGCTCTTCTCATCAGGACAGGTCTGACTACTCATGAAAGTTGGTAGCACTGCATGGATTGTTTTATATATTTATTGAAATATATCTGATAGAGATTGCATGGATCCACATCTCCCACTGGTTAACATGGGTTTCCTAACAATACTCAGTATTCCATATATATTAGCTTTCTTCCAATTTATCTGTATTTTCTCTCATATGTTTCCTTAAAGCAGTCTACTGTTCAGTACACAAATGCTTCCATTTCTACATGCTATATTTAATTATTGTGTGTGTACACACATACTCTTTGCACATGTGTGTGGTCTAAGGTCAGCTTTGAGAAGAATTGATTCTCTCCTTCTACCACATAAGTCTTGGGGATTGAACTTGAGTCATCAGGGTTGGCAACAATTGCCTTTACCCACTGAGCCCTCTTATTGACCCTCAGTTTCTTAGTTAATCAAACACTAACAAGTGTATGTAAAGGGATCAACAGCATGGACCAATATCACCGAATGAAAATGGAAACTACAGTGAAACATGGACTCAAAGCTGTCAGGATAGCTACCAGGATGAGACAAGAGTTGCCAACTCACACAAACCACTGATGGGAATGGAAGATGGTACAGCCGTCTTGGAAAGCAAAATGGAGATTTTTAAACTAAAATTTAAGACTCTAATTACCATATGATCCAGCAGTGCCTCATCTGGATATGTATCAAGAATAGATATTAGAGGTATTAGCAGCCCCATGGTCATTGCAGCACTGTCCACAGGAGTCAAGAAGAGGATACAACCCAAACATCAATCACCACATGGGTGGATAGAGAACATGTAACATGCACATGCAATGGAATGTTGCTCAGACTTGAAAATGGAAAGTCAATAGCATGAGATTTAGATTAAATCTGAGGGTGACATGCTAAGTGAAATAAACGAATCACGCAGGGACATATACTACACACAGGGTATCTATGGAAGGCAGAGTCAAGAATCAGAGTGAAATAGTGGTTGTTAGGAGTCAGAGAGAGATGAACAGTCACTAATAACCAAGGATAAAATTTCAGTTAATCAACACACACTGCAGAGACACGCTGTTTTTAGTGCCTATAGACAACAACACTGGATGGAACATGTGAAAATTTGTTTAAAACATACATTTTGGGCTCTCTTGCAGAGGACTGGAATTTGGTCCCCACAACCCACATCAAGCAGCCTATAATCCCAGCACCAGGAATCTGGCACCCACCTCTGACCTCTGAATGCAACTTCACTCACATACACATAAATACAAATAAAATAAATCATAATGTAAGGAACATAGACCTCATTCTAAGTATTTTACTACAATAAAATATTTATTTCAAAAGTCTGCTTCTTGTATGCCTCTTAGGATCAGGCATGCAGCTAGTTGCCAGGTGACATGTACACATTAATCCAGACTGTGTTCCACATTTACTTTGATTACGTGATGATAGGGGAAAGGCTGTTCAGACAATGCAGATTGCATCTAGCTGACCACCTAGATTGTTCCTAAATTTATTGCCTCTCTAGAGTGAGCAGACAGGCCCCTCACTCTCTCCCTCTTGGGGCTTATTTCAATAACACTGCTTTTTGATAAAGACACATACATAGACCTGAAACTCAATTTATGAAAGTCAGTTGAGACTGGAGTTTGGATTGAACCTCCCCAAGCTGCCTAATTAATGACACACATTATTGCCCCTGCTCTCCTAACTGAATGCAGTCTCCAAACCTTGACGTGTTTTCCCAACGATAAAAATGCAATAAATGAATTAGTGTCCCAGGGGACTGTGACAAGAATAGAGGGGAAGCCAAGAAAGATAGATGATGTCTCAACTAATTTTATGATTTATCGATCTCCACTTTGCTCATTTTGCAACGTGGGGGAGTTCATTTTTCTGTCAGGCCCACAGTGGAGTCACCCTTGCTAATAGATACGATTACCATCCCCGAAACTGTGTTTGTGAAAATAAGAGTGGCTCACTCAGCTGCTGAGCTCAGCAGTTTCCTTCTATTATGTCCTGGACCTGCTAGGAACCAAAATTGATGCTCTTACCCTGGGCTCTGTTGGACAGACACAAGCATTTTTCTCATTTTTCTTCCAAACAAGTTCATCTTTAAGCAAGTACAGATTCATGGTTTAAATTACTGAGTTGACACATCATC